TGTGCAAAGATTGCTGGAATTGTGTAATCTACTTCAGGGGAAAGATTAGACGACTCATCAGCTGAAGAACTTTATCGAGCAACATAGACAGGGGAGAAATAATTATAGGATCCTGTGACGATGTCAACCAGTTCAAGGGATGGCAAAGCTTTTGGCTATTTGAAGTTGCAAGATTCTGTCGAGACTTCATGCGATTCTGTCTCATGACTGTTTGGTGAATATAAATAAATAATAATCGTGCTTTTAGTATGATCTCTAAGGCAGTAAGTTATGCGAACCATTGCTCGAAATCCATGCTTGGGTAGAAAATTGATGCCTTTCATATATTTGTGATCAGTAATAATTCGCGGGACCAAACATCCCATTCAAAACAGGTAGCACCCACAATTTAGTGACATTTCTCTGACGTTTTTGCACGTACCAGTATACAGTCTATGTGTATATAATTTGTAAAGCACGTTTTAAGGTAGGCTCTTTTTACAACGCTTCAGAATTTACGTATGGACAGTTCAGTCCCCTGAGAAAATCTGTTTTGCTAGTCGTTATCTCTAATCATCTAGGATTTAGAATTTTTTCTTCTGGTCGTATTTTTGCTTTCATATACGCAGCGCTGAAGTGTAGTGTTGCTAAACAAACAGGGAGGTGGAGTCGGCTTAGAACTTCTGCCATTCCGGATTCCAAACCAGGTTAAACTCTTAACTGTTAAAGTAATGAGTGAACTGCAATTTGTTCGATGCAACTATCCGAGAAACGATCCGCAATTAATTGACTTATTTAGTTGCAAACAGCGAGTTCAACAAGGTCATGCCAGAATGGGTGAGAGGTAGTTATGCTGTGTAATGCGTGCTTTGGGTGGCAATTGCCGTTGACCCTCCTGATAGCTGACTATTCATGGGATATTCAGCAAAAGCTGTACACCCAAAAGCCCTGTTCTAAGTCATGATGAATCTAGCCGATTGTGACGATATGATGACTACTGGTCGAATGAGACTTGGCGTCAGTGCAGTGATTTGTGATACAGTTTAACTCAGTGGTTTAATGATAGTGAAACCTGTCAACAAGTTAAAGCATAGCAATCATTGTACAGAATGAAGCGATCAACGTTCAGCAATAACAATATGTGCCAGAGAATCGTCATTAATTAACAAATAATAGGACAACAGCTGAGGATTTTAGATCGACAGATATTGTGCGAGTTGAATGATGTCAAATTCTGCAAGCCAGAGTCGATGCTATCTGACTGAAAATGCTAATAAATTCAAATTTTATAACCGATAAGCCAAAAAAAAGCAGTGTATGATGTGCTCAAAGACGTTGAAAATTCGGTTCTCTAAGTTACTTCCTGTTTCTATCATTATGCTTACTCAGATTTTGAGTTTCGCCTTTTCAAACCTACATCAAAAAGGGTATATCGGTTTTCACTCGTATGAGTACAAGAAATATATTGTGCATAAGAGACCAACAGGTATTCTGAAAGGATGAGACATAGCGTTCAAATATATACTAATTTTGAATCTTCCATACCTTCATGTCGCATAGTAAGTGCAGTAACAAACTTTCATCTATGGCCTAGGTTCTACATCAGTCGGACAAGACGCACTAGTTGGATTAAAAGCTGTGACAGTGCTGGGTTCTGAACATAATATAACCATCTAAACCTTTCTCTCCTCCTTGTCTCTCTTCCATGACTCTGCGAATAGGCCTGTCTTGAAAGTTTTGTTTTAGGTCATTAACGTGAAACAAAATCTGTTTCTCTATGAAGCAAAGTAGCATCAATACGAACTTGTGAATTTTAGGCGGAGAGTTCCGGAGTTCGAGTTCCATATAGATCAATCACTTCTTTTTCTTCCAAGGCTAATCAGCAAATATTACTCTGTGGGAATCAAATGGGAAATTACACAATATGCTTGCCACAATACGTTACTGTCGACTCTGCCTTTAAAACCTAAGACACTCCTGACTGATTGTTAATACGGAATTATACGTAAATAACTTCATAAAAAAATGGCACCATAATGGTTCCATCATTACAGTTTAAGGACGATTGACCTAGCAGCCGTTGCCGACTTATTTTTACTTCCGCAGCTTCCAGAATGCTGTTTTATTTTAATTTTCGTGTCCTCTGCCGAAGTAGGATTCATTCAGCGTGCATTGTTAATATTTTTATCCATGGCTGTCTTGCAGCAGAACCGGAGACTCCGTCGTTGCTATAACACGAGGTTTGATTGTCAAATATTTCAATTGAAAAATTTTTATTAGTTTGCTTATGACAAAGTTACTTTTACCTTGAAGGTCGATACAGTAAAACAAATAATGCGCCGTTGTACTTGGGCTGACAGTCGAAGGTGTAGATTTCACGACGAGTTTCCGACTACCGTGATGGAGCTTAATTCAGAACTGCTGTTAAGTCTTGCGTCGAAAGTTACCCGGCTAAAGATGTATCCGTATTTCGATGTGGCCCATTACATCCTAATGGTACTAGCTGTCAGAGAAGATCTTGCGAATGGTAAACGGAGCATCCGCTATTCCTTTAATGATATTTCCGTTTGATTCGCATTTTTCGCTCTTGTAGGAGCCGTCTTATTCTCAAGGAAGCATCCATTGTCTTGCTGGATGTCAAGCATGATGATGTGCTTCGCCGGCAGCATTCTGGCTAAC